CATTAAACCTGCTGGGCGATATTTTAGATTACTGATGAGTAGTCGAAAGTGGTTGAACGTTCACATATGATAATTCGGTCGTGCCTAACGTGAGGTCAATGGCGCAGTGGTAAACACGGTTGCCTCATGAACAGCATGTCCGTGGTTTAAGTCCCGGCAATGGCGATGATGTGCACTACTGATGAGCTCTAATGAGAGCGAAACTCGAGTCTAGTGCTTCTTTTCGAAAGGGGCCGACTGGAAAGTCTATGGGGATGCTACAGCTGCGATCAAGTGTGGGTGATGTTCAATTTGAAAATTAACCAAATCCCCGACTACTCATTAGTAACTGGTCTTATAATTTTCACCATTTTTCACATAGTTGATCTTTTTGGAAAACCTCTACTATTTGGTTTTCTGTTAACTATCTGCTTTGGTTTTTTGCCTGCTGAGTTGGCTGATCATAAACTGATGATCCTTTTGATAACATTTTTGAAGATATTGCAAAGGAATTCCCTGACCGGAGTCCTTCTTTTCACTTTGAAACGAGTAGTTTGATGAAACGATAGTTTGATGAGCACAAACCTGTCTGGATTTCAACATCCTTCGTATAATTTTAGTACACGATCAATTCGACTCAGTACACATTCTGTTCAAAACGCCTGAGTCGCCGCTCATTATTCGAAATTTAATATTATGACGCCTATGAAATATAAAAATGTTCTCCGTTGTTTCCATGAGAATTTGATCATTTTACTTTTCCAAATTATCTTTGCTGTGCACTCACTTCCGTGTAGCATTAGGTGCTCCGAATTAGTGCGACTGCTTGTGGTCGCCAAAGATCATTATATCTGGCAGACTTTCATGCGTCTCACGGAGGTCAACCGATGCAACACATGGAATAAAACACGTATCTTCGGAAGGTATTAAAAATTTTCGCCGCAGTATCACTTGGATAGATCAGGTCTAGAATTTGCAATCCACAAATGTTGTAGTTTATCATACTGTGTTTTCTGTACACATACATGGGATTTGAAATATGTGCCTCAACAAAAACTGTTCTTCTCAAATGTCGGATGCCGTGTGATCACTCTCTGCACCAGTGTTCCTTTGCCGCCACTTTTTCAACAGTTGAAATTTAATAACTAGGTCCACATGTGAAATGTCTGGGCTTCCGGCATGGCTTCGTAGCTCAGCTAGTAGAGCGCTTGCCACGTTTTGGCATGGTGTTTTTGTCGCTGGTTCGAATCCAGCCGAAGTCCAGACTTTTCGCAAATGGATCTCTTCTAAACTTGGGAACCACTTTGGAGCAGCAAAGCGGATGGGATACATCGAACATATTTCTGTTCACTCAGGTGCAACTTCAAACCTACTCATATTTTGGAACTACTGCGAACTAATCTTTCCTGCTTTTGTGACGATTTGTAATTATTCTTAGGTTGTGAAGCGTACTGTGCATAGCGTTTTTATCATTTTTACGGAGTTTCTATCTAATATATACGATGCACTCGGTGGTTGTAGACTGCCTATCTTACTGGCAAGCTGAAGTGGTCTTTTTGTAAGATGTTCATGGGCAATTTTAAAAGAGTTTTGTCGGAAAACTACTGATCAACTTTACGATCTTATCCGGTGAGTTGTCTGTTCTCAACGGAGTCCCATAAAGGTCTGCGGTATTGTATCAGATTCATGGTTCCCACAAAGTTATACATTGTGTATTACATGAAAAGTCGATTGTAAATTATGTATATCATAATATGTGATCCTACAATACTGTGATGCGTTACAGAGGTAAACAACGTAATACTAAAAATGATGCTTTTAATTTTTGAAATACTTCACTTATAAATTCTGGTTCTGAAAAGCAGTTAAACATGGCCTCAAGAAAAACACTGTGCTTTAGTTCCACGTTTATTTATGTCATATACAGCACACGGCTTCCTCAGAAATGTGGTTGGTTTATAACCGCCGGGCCCTATTTGGAGATATCGAGAAAATTCTAGAATTTCAAGGGTATTGTATGTCTAGTTGAACAGGGTATCAAAGTGCTTAGCTAACTGAACCCTATGTTTGAACCAAACGTCCGTTGTCAGAAGCTAGATGTGGTTACCAGTTTACAGAGTAACTTTGAATTGACTGAGTGTGTCCAGAATTTTGGCTCATTATATGAAGGTTAGACAGATTTGGAGAGACAAATCGTAAGAAAATGTTCTGGTCATTCGATAGATGTTTTCTAGATTGTTCAGAAGAATATTCAAGGAAACTTTCGGTCTGATAATATTTGTAGAAGTTCAATCCTGCACCACTGTTGCTCTTCAACTTTGCAGCAATAAGATTTTGATTAGCAGCATGTGACATTTCCACAGGTTAGAAACTTGCCTGGTGAAATTGTGAGATATAGTCAGAAGGGAACTATCCTTATAAACCCCAAGTTCATTGTACAGGAGGGATAATTATTTCGACCGTGTTATCGGTATATCGTCGATTAAAATTCCCCCTAAATAAAATATTTGGTTTCCGTCTAGATTGCGTAGTAAGTATTCACAAAAACGTAAATTCAGCTTTGCCAAAAAGCGTCATTGTCCAAAAGAACTGGGTGGTGGTCTGGAGGTTTAGTAGATAAGTATCCAGTAACTTGATAGACCTTACGAGCCACTCGCGAGTGTGAACGTGGTCTTCGTCAGACCTCATAATATACATACACTTCATGGCAAATATAACTTCAGTGCGCAGGCTAGGTGATTTTTTCAGCTTTTCTCTCACCCAGAGCTCTAAGTAAAACGCGTATCGTGAAGGAAGAAGTGAACAGGGGCTGTTGAGACCGGTGAGCTTTCTCGCACCTGCATTCACCTAAAAACAGCGCCAAAAGAAGCTCTGCCCGTCCAAGATTTATTAAACAATTTACCCTGGCTAGCACTGCTCAATTGTCTATGCCGATAGTTTACGTGCCTTTGGCTAATACTAGTTATCCAGAGGGGCAAAATTTCGTACTTGTTGTACTTCTGCTTATTCTCATATGCTTATTGATGACGTACAATTCTTGTTGCAGGATGGTAGAGTGGAACGAGCGAAAAATGTGAAAGGTAAACCACTCAGTAGTCATGTGAACATCCTCATACCCAAAAATGATGGTGCATCAATCCAGGCAGGAGATGCTAGCTAGCTAACCGAGAGAAATGGGTTGGATTTTCTAGATCGTTCAGATGGTGATTTGATCTTAAAGTACTAAGGCAGAAACATTTGAGATAATTATTTTTCGTCGAAAACGACCGGATATTTTCAGTGGATAATTCTGCGACTGGACGATAATATCCGGTGCAAAATTTCGATTTCGGTTTAATGACGATAGATGTCTGTCTTCTGGTAGTTTTGGGTGATTAGTCGGAAGTCTATGGGGATAACCCACATCCCCTGTCAGTAGCGTAATGCACAACAACCAAACTATTGAGGATTGAAAAGTTTTCTCAGTTTTCATCATCTGATCACCTTTAGTCAACATCTAGGATGAAGCTCCAAATTTGATGACCCGATTACATGTAGGTGATAAAGAAAACGTTGATATCAGGTGTGTGGCCTCTACAAAATTATTACTGCGAATTAACATATCTTTTAAGAACAACTAGAGATGTTTGAAACTTTAAAAATGTTGATACATTTCTACTGGAAGCTTCAGTCTTATGGATCTGATCATGTTTTCAATCTAATATGATCGAAACAAAATTAATGTGCTTTTTATTTCGGGTCAAAAATATCCTATTTGTATTTGCAGCATTCCCCCCCCAAGATTTTTGTAACACAAATCGCTATACCAATTAAACTACAGTCTGAGTTGTGAACAGCATTCACTATCAATACATATATATATATACGTATATCAAGCGCTATATGACTGATGCAGCTAGTTATATTTAAACCAGTCTACAGTTGAAATTTACGAAGCATTCCAGTTCTCTCAATCACTTCCGTTCTAACTCAACTTCATAAAACTTTAGCATAATGATCACGGAAGCGTGCAATATTCTGAAATTGTCTCCAACGTTGTCCGGCTTCTGAACCAGTCAGTCAGTCAATCGAAAGTGTCTACCCGTAACAATCAGTTGTCTCATTTAGCCTTGCACACTGACAGACAAACTGGTAGACAAAGTGCACGATGAATGTGATCAGGTTTTAAGCTGCACAAGTTAAAAAAACAGCCGGTAAACACAAATTCTGTTTTGACATATCACAGCATAAAAAAATCATTTTAAGTAGAACACAGAAGCAGCTGATGTGCTTGTATAAGTCTCGGCAAAAACAGATAGGATTACACACTCAGTCACAAACAAGCACCAGCAAAACTGTAGGCGTGCCTCCGTCTAGGTATGTTTTTATAAGAAATCCGCGTAGTTTGGACAGTTTGGTTTGATGGATCGCCTTTTCCAACTTCTCCATATTCCAAGCGTGTTGGTTTGGTCCAAAACTCTACATAGTAGTTCTCATTCAGTTTGCTTGAGTAAACACTTTATGCTTATTCAAGGATGGGTGATGTAGTGACCAACAGTGTTCAATCCAAACCGCCAGCGAAATTTATATCTTGGCTTCTAAAGAGTTTTATTTCTATAAGCAGATTAATACTGACAAAGAGAGATCATTAGCTATTCATAGCATCCTAGTCTAAATATAATTGCAGTATTGTGTTGGCTGATCGAATACACCAGTGTGAAGAAAATGTGGTACTCAAATAGAACGAATAAAGTTTGGCCGTTACGGAAATATAATATGAAACTTACTGAAAACTATTACTGCGCACATTTTCAGGATATTGGACATTTATTTCTGAGTTAACTTGGTCTAACAGTTTATCAAAATGAAACTGTTCATAATGCTGTTTAGTAATGCTCGATTTCAGATAAGTGGTTTCATACTGCAGGAGACATTATACTATATTCACTGCAAAACACCAGATATTTACAGGAATATAGTTTGAAACTTATTCATTAAAATAACGCATGGTTTTTCGCTGTTTTCTGTCCTCAATAATCCTTGAAACACTTAACTGATTTCAGAGAACTTCGGTGCACCCAGTTTTCACCGAGTATCTCTACTGTGTCCTAGTATTTGCAATCTCTCCACAGAATGACCACATAAAAACTTTGTAAAACCTGAAACGGAAATTTTTACTGTAGGTCAGTTTGGTTTATTTATCTTTTGTTCTCGTATTGTTCTAATCATACAAGTAAATGTGCTGATAAATTGTCTAACAATCCACACGTCCGAATCATCTACCTTTGCTGAATATGAACGTGAATTATGCTAGGAGACTGACACATCTAACTTGGGGAAACCATGTCTACATAGCAGCAAACGTGTAGCGTGGCAATTACGGTTCACATTTTGTATCTGGCTGACAATATCATTCTACTGAACAGTTAGTCGAAACTGCATTATTATCAGTGAATTCGTAATATAGGTTACGAAACTATAAGAACAACACACAGGTCAGTATTAATTTATCAACCAATAAGGTGAGCTCACCACACAGTCTTGGATTGGCTGCAGCCAGAGATAAAAACTTATTGCTCGAAAAGCCTATATAAAAGGAATAAAGGTACTGTATAGATCAACAAGGATATCAAGTTCAATTGAACTCAGATCAGGGTTAAACGTGGGGATTACAACAACAAGCAGACAGGTAACTGGTTAACTACCATGGAGACTAGTGTGATTGACTCCAAACGAATGTAATCTGTTTCGCAGGAGAACCAGCAAAAATTCACTGTTATTGTTTTGATGCGTGCCTTCAAAGAGGAGGGGACGAAGTTCATACTGATGTGTCGAAGAACTAAATAATGTTCCGCGTTATGGATACTTTCATCTTTCACAAGAAAACTGCCATAAAACCTTCCTTTATTGTGGCAGAAATGTTGTAGTTCATTAAATAAGTATATTGGTCAGTGAGTCTTATAATTCTAATTTAAACTAGTTTAAGCATCTCTGAGGTATACCTACTTGTCAAGTAAGTGATTTTACTGGTATTTGTGACTCCACGGATGGATTGAAGGTTATCCTAAAAACAAAAAGAAACTATCGGAGTCAAACCCCACACAGATCAAATTGAAAGGAACATGACAAAAATTATACCTTGAGGTTTCGAGGTAAATGGAAAGTGCGTCCAACTAATTTTCTACAGTAGACCGCAAGTCTGTATGAGATCACGTGGTTGTCGTAGTGAAGTCTGGAAAGGTAATCGTTATTTAGCTAGTGTAGAAAGATATTTCCTTATGGT